GGATCTCCAGCCCGCTGTGAGCTCCCCTGGCTGCCAGGCTGGATTGCAAATGGGAAACGGCACTTTCCAAAGTTGAAACGATCAATAAAGTCCTGGTGCATGCAGCGCACACCTGTCTACCCAGGGGAAATGTTAGTGGGGTTGTAGCAAGTGCATGGCTGGACTCAGTCTGAACTCATGGGCTAATGACTGCTTGTACTGGGACCAATTAACCCTTTCAGTACCTAAGGCACAGCTGAGTTTTGAGGGCTGGGAGAACAAAATGTCCTGGATGGTTGCTGGCTGTATGCTGGTGCCCAACAGAGTGAGGCAGTCCCAGTTGCCATCCCTGTCAGAGCAGCACAGCAGCACCAGCTCCTGCACGTGTCGGAAAGCCCCAGAGCATTTCCCCAGGCAGCCACCCCGGCACAGTGTGGCCAGGGCTGATCCCAGCCAGCTGTGGGGCCTGCCCGGCCTGGAGATGTTTATTTGGGGAAGGCTGTAGCCGTTCATCTCGGCATCGCTGCATGCAGCCCACCACTAAGATCTGCACTGGCAGTTCTCGCTGACCTGCCCCTCCTGCCATGGAAACAGAGGGAACGGGGCCAGACTCCAGACAGGATGAACTCCTCCAGCTGTGTCTGGGAACCCGCAGCTCATATTTCACTCTGCTCCCAGATCTCCCACTCGGGTGACACCAAACGCGTGTCACACAAGCTGGAGGCGAGGGCTTATGGCCCCCCTGCTGCCAGCACAGTCTCAGCCCCTGAGCCTCCACCCTCTCTGCCCTCTGTCTCCCCATGGTGCAGCTTGGAGCCAGTGCTTCATCCCAGCTGACAGAGACTCTGTGCAGGCTCTGAGGTCCCCCGGTACCCTCTCGTCCAGAGATGGCTGCACAGTCTCCAGCACCAGACCCATCCCTTCCCAGCTCTGCTACAGGTTAAATGGCTAAAATAAGTAGTTTGAATACACCACCTGCGTAGTGCTGAGAGGCTGAAACTGGATGGAAAACCAGCCTGGCCTACCAGCCCCTAGAAGGTCAGGGGCTTCTCCCAGGCTTTGCCACATATGGATCACAGATGCCCCAGGCTGCAACCAAGCCACCCGCTTGCCCTGCTGCTGTGGCTCACAGAGGTTTGCAATGCCAACAGGCAGATGGGGAGGGCAGCTGTGCTGCATGGGCAGTGAATGATCCCAAGCGTCTTTCAGATTGCATTGCTGGGGCCAGGAGAGGCAACCCAAGCCTTCTTTCAGCAGCGTGGCAGCTCTGACCAGCTGAACTGCTCTGTGCCCTGAACCAGCTCGTCACTGCAGGCTGCATGGCCCAGACGCCAGACCTGAACCTCTGTTGTGGAGTGCTGTCAGCACGCCATGCTGATAAGATAAACTGAACATGTATGGAACGGACAAGGAAAGGAAATTCCACCTCCGGCGTGATCGTGTTATCCAGCCTCCTGCTGACTCTGCCTGACCCCATCACAGAGCCAGCATTCAGGCATCCCTGTAAAAACTTTCTGTGAAATGGATCCATAGCCCTTCTGTCTTGCAAAAGCCTCAGGAGAGCCACACTGCCTATATTCATGTGGATGCCCCCAGGCCTGGGCACTGGCAGAAGGGAGGATCTTGCAACCCCACACTCAGGAGCAGGTCACCAGAGCTCTTGGCAGCTTTCACCACATGAGAGCAATGGGACTAAGTGCCACCGAAGTGCAGTGTCCTGGGGGTCCTGCTCTGTCAGGCTGCAGGAAAAGGGATGAGAAGACCAGTATGGCCAGGCCTCTGTGCAGGTTTGCTGTGAGAGCTGGGCCGTCCTCCTGGACTGAACTGGCAGCTCACACAGCAGCATCTCGCAGGAAAGGTGCTCCTTCTGCTTCCCCCTCATCCTGGCCTAGCTCCCAGAACTAGGGTGGGATTTAGATGTTGATATACTATTAATAGATTTCTCCCAGGCAAAGGGACTAGATGTGATATGAAATTAACTTCTACGGGGACCATCATGTCAGTGAGATTATTGTGGTAGGCCCTTTCCGGTCTCCAGCTTAGTCCCCTCCTAGGTCAAGAGCTGCCAAATGAAGCAGGCCTGTGCCACAGAGACCTTGGACTGCCAAAGAGCAGGAAGGGCTCCATTTATAAGCTGCCAGATAAACAAACCTGGTGGGAGACCAGGATTTATGGAAGAGCTGGAGAAGGGCTGGGGGGGAGGGGTGAGGGGCGATCTTTCTGCTACATTTGCCCTGCCAACAACTTCTGCACAGACTAAAGAGACATGTTTGTTAGTAAGAACAGTAGGTTCACAGCCGGGTGAGTTTATGGCAAGCAGGATATAAATAAATAGAAGAAAAAGGACTTTCCCCACAAGGAAGCGTCGTTCTGCCCGCCTTGGAAAGGCTGCCCTTAGGCTTGATGCCAGTCAGAAGAGGGCTCTCTTCTCGCCAGAAATAAGGCCATATTGATTGCTTTCATCAAGGAAATGACTTGCTGATGTCCAAAAACAGAAAATTGAGGGTTTTTTGGAAGCCTAAATGTTTGGGTGGTGGGACTGCAGCCACCACCATCCCCAGAGCCCATCACAGCCCTGAAGAGTGGCACATGCAGGGCACATGTGGGTGAATGGGGGTTGCTGCCATTCTGCTTTTTATTGATGAGGAGGAAGGATCAGAGAGAGAAGGCATAGGACAGAGTCAGAAGCTCTAGCAGTATGGACAAAAAACCTAAAAGAGCTTTGAGGCGCAATGTTAACGGGGAAAGGAGTTGAAGCCTGAGCAAAGACACTGCCTTTTGTCTGACTTCTTCTATGTTCAGAAAACACAATTTTGCACAGGCAAGAAGTATTGCATCTGAGGAGACCCTGTCTCCACCCAGGTTCTCTTCCTAACAGTGATAAACTGCAAACCTGCAGACTTCAGCCAAGGCCTGAGATCAAAAGGGGAAGCATTCATGTAAGGGATATTAAAGCATTATATATGTGCTGCATTGGCACGGCTCTGCACAGGATAGGCTTAGGCTGGCATAAACCCAGAAAAGGAGTTGTATAGGTCATGAAGTGACACAACTAGGGCACTGAAGTGTGGAAGAAGTCAGAGAGCATTCAGCAGCGCTTCACTCTTTACTCCCAAAGATCAAGGACTAAGGCTGGAGAAATCAAGTACTCAAGTACTTTGGGACCTGCTGTGCCGGTCCCACAGTAAGGATGATACAGTGAACATGCTGAAGAGCAGCTCCATTCCCAAGGTGAGGCCATAGCCCTGGGACATAGGGGAACAGGCTCACATGCACCCCCTTCTCCTCGATTCGTGGCCCAGTGGTGCTCCCCAAAACTGCCTTTTGGTACCCCTTGACCATAGTTGGGTGCTTCTGAGCGTGAGGGTCTGTGGGGTGTGAGGCTGTTGTGGCTGTATGGACATGGGGCTGTGGTGTCTCACACTGGCCCAGGGCAACGACAGATATATCCCAAAAAAAGGAAAAGAGGGACTTACCTTGGCCTGTTCAGGGCACAGGACCCCTCTTGTCAAGAGAGTTCTTGGTGCACAGTCATGCCTCTGTCTATCATGCATCTGTGCCCAGGGTTTTACACTGAATATGCGGCATGCCTGCTTGGTTATCAGCCTCCAAGCAGAGAGCTCACTGCTCTGACTTTACCTCTTTCTCAAGAGCCCAAACACCCTACTCCCGAAATGCCAGGCTTCAGTCATAAACCTCCCTATTGCTTTGTTTTCCAAGCGGATAGAGCACTAGGTGCCCCAGCCAGGCCAGGTACTGTGACTTAGGACAAGAGCTGAAGATTTTCCAGCAGCAAATCCCAGCGCATCAGAACCTGGGCAGTTCACCGTGAAAAGGGGACTAGTTTCTCTGGTCAGCCAGGCTGGCCTTGCTAGGCAAATGGGAATGCACCGAGGACTGGGACATAAAGCACGTCCAAGTCAGGCAGGCACTGACACACAACTTGTTACCTGCTAGTTGGATTCCCTACCCAGCTCCTTACTATGTGGGGTAAGGCTTTTCCAACTGCACCTGCTTCCACATATGAATACTAACGTACTTAATGGGCTGCTAAGAGAGGGAAGGTTGTCGTTCTTGCAGGAAGAGGGAAAAACACAGCAAAACCAAGGCACCACATTCGAGTCTGTGCTCTGTCGCAGTCTGCTTTAAAGCAGTTTGCAAAGATGTGGGGGTCTCAGGCTCTGCATTGCACATAACTGAAGCCAAACTCTCTGGGAATAGCTATGGGAATTTCACGGGAGAAAACGGGCAAGTTTGCAGCAGATGAGAACAGGGAGCTGTCTCTAAAAGTGTCCCACACAACCCCAGAGACTTTTGCGTTTCACCAGTGAGCTCAGGTTGCTCTTTCAAAAAAGGTGAATGGTGACCTCTGGAGCTTTCCTACTTCGAGGCAGAGAGAGAGACCACTTGGGATATTAAATCAAGGATTAAAAGGCAGGTGAAGGAGGAGGCAGCACAAGGCAGAGCAGAAAGTCTGCTCTGGAGGGACGCACGCATCTGAAAGGAAGGCTGCAGCTACTGCTGTTATCTGAGCCCTGGCAGAGGAGGCTCCTCCTCTTCCTTAACTCTTGCAGAGTCAGGGAGTGAAGCCTGTGGTCCTGGGCTGCAGCTCGGGGCTGCCTGGTTTGCTGCGCACTGGGTGGGGGGAGCACTTCATGCAGGGGAGCCCCAGGGCTGTGTGTTGACGGAGGACCACAGCCTTGCACTGCCGGCAGGGCTGGGAGGTGGGAGACCACCCTCACCAGCGCCTAGGCTCTGCTCACTCCTCGCGCATTTGGATGCTCTCCCTGCCCCTCACCTTGGGCCATAGCTCGGCAAGGTGAAAGACTCCCAACCAGCCCCCTGCCACAGCCCACCGCAGCCAAGAACGCATGCCTGACAAGCCCCTGGCCTTCTTTCCTCTGCACTGCGGGCTGCAAGAAGTTAATTTATTTTTGGAAAAGCAGCTCTCAGAGTTTGTCTAATTCCATCCGCACCAGCTCCTTTCACTCTATTTTAAACCAGTTCTTACTGTGCTTCAAGTTTATAAAAACAATCACTGCTCCCTGATAAAAGCAGCCCTAATCCTCGGAGAAAGCAAGGAGTCACAAAAGCAGCATCTCCTCCAGGAAACTCTAGCTCAGCTGAAAAGTTCACAGGTAATTTACATTTCGTACTTAACATCTTTCTGTTCTTGTAACTGCTTTCTCACATGCGTGTTTAGCTATATAGACACATGGCACTTATATAGGTGGCATCCGGTTCTCTAGGGAGATGGAGCGCAGTTAGGCATTATTGTTACCTGCTACTTCTTTTGGGTTATTGGCAGGGGCCTTGGTGACCAGGGCACCTGGCAAGTCTTGGACTACGCGCGGACCTACATGGATCGTCCTGCTTGTTTGGGACAGAGTACAAGGTGCATTTTGCGAGTCAGGAGCTGGCCCGCCTGGAGTTCCAGGCAGAGAAATGTGGAAGGATTCAGTAGCTGGCTTTGCAAAGGAAAGATGATGGTGTAGGGCCAAGTGAGGTCTTCCCAAAGGCCAGGCTCTTGCTTTGGTACAGCCATTTAAAGGCTGCTCTGAAGGTTATTCTAATCCTGCGACCTCACCCTGCTCTAGACATTATCCCTCCCTGTGGGTCAGTCTGTGTGATGGCACCCTGCTTTTGTCCCTTTTATTCCTGGATTGATAGGAGGATAGTGCCACAGCTCTGTTAACTGTGGAGGGTCATTCTGATTACGCAGAACACTCAGCTGTTTAATGCAATTTCTCCATGACTCACCAAAGCATCCCACTGAAACTGTTTAGAAAAGCTCCCAGCATCGCTCACGCTCAGAAATCCAGGGCATTTACGGACCACTTTGTTTCTTTTAAATAAATGCATTGCAAAATGTTGCCTGACATAAACTACTGATCTCATTTGTTGAGCACTAAAGCTCTCAAAGAAGGCTTTGTCTTCCTTGTGCTGTGGTTGCTGGAGTTTCAGGGTTAATGCCTTCAAAAGCCCCGCCTTGGCAGCAGTGAAACAGTTACATTTCCAGGACAGTGAAACTGTGCAGGGAGAGGGAATAGGACTGCGAGTGCATTGCCAGGACAGGGCTTTGCTGATTCTCTCCTTTCCCCGCAGATTGCACGACCCAGCCCTGTGCGCTTCCTCTCTCTGATCATCAGCGTGGTCTTCAGGGCACTTACATGCGTCTGGGAAAAGAGGTGTAGCTTTGGGTTTTGGTACTGTGTGCTATAACTGCTGCTTTCCTAAAATCCATCCAGGAGCTGGTCAGCTTTCCCCACTGCCTTTTGATAAAACATGCATCGTTTCAGCTCTGAGTGAAAAAAAAAAAAAAAAAAAAGGCAGGAAAATGAAAGTTCTTTTTTAGGACTGAACAAGGTGGTTTCTTCTGTAAATGTCACTTGTCAGGTGACCTGAGAGACAAGCAAAAGCTTTTGGATCTAAGGACCACACATCCCTATCTCTCCTGCTGCTCTGTCCATGTGTTTTGGTGGTCCAGTTTGCAGAGAAAGGGTAATGTGGTTGCTCTGTGGTGTATGCAGGCTAAAAATAGTTTCCTTCTCGTGCTTCATCTGAATGGGCAGCCACATATGACTGTACATGGATTTGTCTGATAGTCCCGTTTCAGTGTAAGAGACAAAATATCTTAGTTATGGCTTTGTTCTTCAGCTAACAATGGGTAGCTAAAAATATCTGACTTTGTTCCACTCAATAAAGTTCTCTCAAGGGGAGACACTAACGTTACATTTTTGCCAGATTCATGCAAAATGCAGCCAAAAAAAATTCACATTTTTGCCAACAACTTTTCATAAAACGTAACTAGCAAAAAAACTTCACACTGTTCTGCGAGTGGGGCTTTGCTCTCTGCTGTGCAACAGCATCCTCAGGCTCGTGGCTGCCCGCTCCCTGGAGGCATTCAAGGAGGGCAAAGCCTGGCTACGGAAGAGCCGCCTCCTCCTCTTCCTCCTTTTCTCACCCTCCCGGCTGGATTGCTCAGCTCCCTTCGGTGAGGGCCCGCACGCTGCCAAGCCTGCTGCTTTCACGTGGGCCAGTGCAGTCAGGCTCAGCGGGTAGGCGGCTAAGTGCCATGACAGTGGTGAGGCAGGGCGTCGCTGCCTGCTCGTGCCTGGCTGGGGGAGAGTGCCCGAACGCTGCTAGTGGCAGCTGTTTGGTGGTCGCTGTGGTCTCACTCCAATTCCTGTATTTCCCTCTTTGTGGCAGTCAGGCCTGGAGGCCAGCCAAGCCGGCCTGGTCCCACTGTGCAAGCAGTGTGTGTGCAATAAAAGCCTGGCACGGCCTGCTTCAAAGTGCTCACAGTCTGACAGCCAAGAGGAAACTAGCAGAGACCTCACTGGGCTGGCACAGGCTCCACAGAAAGGAATATGATGGGCCCTCCCATGCTCGCCCCCATCTCCAGCTAAAATCTCTGCCTCCCCACCGCTTCCACCCTGTCCCCAGTGCCTTCCCTCTAGCTGCCATGCTGCACCATTGGTAACTGTGCCCAGGCAATAGGTCAGTCAGGAAAGCAGGAGGCCAGGGTAGAAGAGCAGGGATGCCGGCAGAGGGGGATGTGCACAGTTAATGATAAATCGCGGCAAAGGCAGCAGCTTTGGAAGCTGCCTGGCCAAGTGATCCCATCCGTTATGCCCACAGGGGGCCGTGCTGGTCAGCCTGCTCTTCAGGTAAAACAGCAAACTTCCTCCTGCGCTGCCTTGCCTGGGCTTTGCAGTTGGTGAGCAGAGCAGATCTGGGAGACTCCAACTGAGAAAATCCTTCTTTCCACACTGAAGCTGGTTATGCTGAGTAGGCAGCTGCTCTACTTGCAATATGCACCTTGCTTTCTGATTTATAAGTGTCCAGGCTCAACTGTACCTCATTTTGCTTTAGACTGGAGAGCTGTCCGCCAGGTATTTGTTGAGTGGGACCACGTCTCAGTTTGCTTTGTCTAGCATAAGTAAAAGAGATTGAATTTCTTATATCTCCCACTGTACAATAATTTTCCAGTCTGCAAATCATTCTTGTAGCTCTTTTCTGAACCTGTTCCAGCTTTCCAGCATCCATCCTGTTGTGTAGACACAATGACCAGTAACGATGTGCCTAATTCTGGATGTCTTTCTCTGTGCTATATTTGCTTTCCAAGCTATAATGCCACCTCAGGAACTCCTATTCAATTGGTTTTCACTTTGCCCCCTTCCTGTGATCTTGTCTCTTCTCTGAGTTCCCTTGATTTTGCATGTGTCCATGTTAAACTCCATTACAATGCAGGCTCCCATGGTAGAAAAGTTTCAGGAGAAGCTTAGAGATGGACAAGAGAGGAACGTATGTGTTGTGGCAGGAGTGGTCCCCCTATGGAAAGAGTTCAGAAGTGCTCTTGATGCTCCTGAGGGGTAAAGGCAGGAATGGTTCTGGAAAGGAGCACTGCTGTGGGTCACTTGGCAAGGGTTGGCTTCTGTGGGCTAAAAAAAAGGCCAGTGGAGCTGAGTTTAATGCCAATGATCAGCTGAAACTGCTGATAGGGGAGAGATGCAATCAGGGAAGTAGGGCAGGAGAGGGCACTACGTGGCTTTTCCACCTGCTGTGGCTGAAGCAAAGCCTCCTTTGCCTGGTGGTTAACCCAGCCCCTTCACCACCCTGGGCATGAAATGGTTGGTTCTGCAAGGTGTGGAGGACCTGTGTCCTGCTCAAAAGGCTGAGGTCCCGAAGGTGGGCTGCCTGTCCTAGGTGAACAAGTGTGTCTTTTGGGAACAAGATATTGCTTGAAATGGATTCATGCATTTTTTGCTGCTGCAGTATTCATGGAACGTACCTGCTTTATGTCTTAGTCTTCTTGCCTGTTATTGGAGAGGAACTAAGTTAATGTACTGGATATTAGAAGGCGAAGAGATCCAACCCTTGCATTTGGGTGAATACATTAGCTGTGGGTGAGGCCTTGCAGGCCATGATGGAGGCACTCAGAAGTCTCTCCACCAGTCAGAACACCTTATAATATGACCAAGAGTGGACTCAACACTACCAGGACATATCTGAAGGGCTATTGGAAAAGACTGAGGGCCATGTGTCACACTGGCAGGCCACAGGTCAGCTCTTTTGGGTTGGGAGTGAGGGAGCAAGAAGTTCATTGCTGAGTCTAGCTGTGATGTGGCTGAATTTCCCCAGGGCCTCAAGCCCAGGAGCACCAGCCATGAATTAGGACTACCTTGGACCAGAGATGCAAAAAGAGGACAGAGCCCCCTGACATGCAGAGCAGGGAACTATGGGGATGTTGCTCTGCAGATGTGATGTGTTTGTGACTGGATTGCAAGTCTCCTCCCCATGTGCTTTTGAGCTCCAGGCAAGCTGATCGTGTGTGTCCATGAGCACAAGCTGTCTGTCAGGCACATGTGGGTGCTGGCTGACAATGGGCAGTTTGCAGATGGCTCCCTGCTTCCTGACACTGCATGTGTTGTCCCACAGTGTCCAGCTGGGGATCTCGTTCATGGTGCAGGCACAAAGCTTCCCTCTCCTGTTGGCCCATACAGCACAGTTGTGCTGGCAGATGGTTCACAAATACAGCACAAGCCCTTGCCCCCAATGAAGCTGTGTACTGAACAACCAGCTTTTCTGGCTGCCTGACTGGACCTTTATGGAGGGAGACAGGAGACAAATTCAAAACCTCTTTGACTGAGGTGATCCCAGGAGGGCAGATTTACCTGCCAAGTCTGCAGAGCCTGAGACTTCCTGTATGCTTTGTGTCTACTGTACAAGCTCCTCCATTTTGAGGTTGCTCAAATGGCTGATGAACCTCAAAGGTGCAATGCTGGCACCGATGTTCAGGAACATGATCCTAGACACCTCTCTCAGGTCATTGTGACCCAAGTGCCTGCTAACAGCCTTGCACTCTGGAGGTTGAGCTGCTTCTCTGTCACAGCCCACCTTTCATTCACTTGACTCAGTTGTTTCGAGCTCTACCACTCATTACCTAGGTGAGTAACTTTGTCTGACCTTTGCCTGGGAGTGGGGACATTGCAGCCAGGAGAATAAGTTTCATGGGACAGGCAGGGAGAGGGAACCTCTGCACTAGACCTTCCTTCTTAACCAGCATCAATCTTGTTTTTACTCTAGGTGACAACAGTGCAAGGAAAGACCTTGTGACCATACCCAGGCACTGATA